CCGCACCATATGATTTGATTCTTGCTAACCAAAACCATACACTGACGACTTTGGCTCAAGTAAATTAAGTACCCAACTGTCTCCTTTGTTGATTGGACCGCACCCAACTCGCAGAAGCAAACATGATAGCTCATAGAAACGAATAAGTCAGGACTTGGAAAGAGGCCATCAGCCATTCGTAGAGATAATTCTTAGGATGCTCTAACTAAAATATGGCTCATCAGATTGGGAAACCCTTCCTTTCTTACATAGTATTCACCCACCCTAGGTCATCTTCGAGAACCTAAGCTTTTGGCGGGGATAATCTGGGGTGCCTTGAAATTCTACACACGTGACCTTAAACTCCAACCTGGAATATTCAATCTCATCTCGTACAGTGCATCAAGGAACCCCACGAACCAACCCATCACCACTTCGAACCGACTTTTGGCATTATTCATCCCTCCCGACCTCCAAAAGAAGACTCCAGACCATGTCGTCAATCGCTGAAATCGAACAGGAGAAGAAGACGTACCAAGAACAAGTACGACCCCCATCCGTTCATCCATGGTTTGTCATTCATACTGACTGTTTTCCTCTAGTTCGATATCGTTCTTGGTCAGCTACGCGATGACCCCGATAACGTCGAGCTCAAAGCTTTAAAGGACGAGTTGAACAGCTTTATCGATCTTCTCAATGAACAAATTGCTGAGCTCAAGCCTGCCCAGGCCCCCAACCCCGCCCCCAAAGAACCATCACCGCCACCTCAGCCCGAGAAATGGTCTCGCGAGAACCATCCGGCCTTTAAGAAAGCAGCCCCGGTAGAGGAAGAGAAGCAGGCTCCTGTAAACTACCAGGTCAACGACACAATTCTAGCCAAGTGGGTTTCTGGTGACAAGGCTTTTTACCCAGCGCGCATCACATCTATCACTGGATCCTCAACAGACCCTATCTACACCGTCAAGTTCAAGTCCTACGATAACACTGAGACCTTGCGGTCTCGCGATATTCGACCTGTTTCAAACAAGCGAAAGGCGGATGGTACGCCAACAACTTCAGCACCAGCAACACCTCCAGCCCCTGGGCTGGTTTCATCGGCGGGCGCGACGGTTTATCCCGAAGCGAAGAAGGCAGCCGAGCAAGATGGTGAAGTAAAACCTCCCAAGGCCAAGAAGATCAAGGCCAAGAAGGAACTCGAGAAAAACAAGAATAAATGGCAAGAATTCAGCGCAAAGTCCAAGTTTGGAAAGAACCAAAAGAAGGACAGCATGTTCCGTACTCCAGACGGCGTCCATGGTAGAGGTATGCATTTCTGTTCCTCCTTCATGAATCAGACACTAACTTGTTCTCAGTTGGCTTCACAGGCTCTGGCCAGGCCATGCGAAAAGACCCCACTCGAAGCCGTCATGTCTATCAAATGAACGATGAGCTAGACTAATCACCTTTCTCTCTTGACAGGGCACTCGGTTCGATACTCAAGAGTACACAGGGGCGTTCGGGAAGTCTCAGAAGCTTATTGCTTTGTTTGGTAACATGCCTTGCATTTGATCATAGCAGAGGCTAACGACTTGTCTTTCTGGCGTTTAATCCAGTTCTTCTTTTTCCAGACTCAAGTATATAGGAGCGAACGCGGTCTATATTTATAGACTAGCCGGTGTTAATCAAATAATGTTACATGAGCACACAACACCTCCCCCCCTCGGCTTTGAGTGTTTTACTAAGTTGGGCTGACAGGGATCATTATTGTACAAGTTGCCTTACTCTATATTGTTGATACATGGCGGCCGAGTAGAAGCCCGGTGACTATTTGCTGCTGAGATCGATCTTGGGGCAGATATCTTGTGCTATCTTCAAAAAGGCACTAGCCCTCTCACTCGTAGGTTCTGCCACTACTGTGGGTTTTCCTCTGTCCCCGTCATCCCCAATATTGGGATGTAATGGGATATCACCTAAAAAGTCGATCTGGTGTTCTTGACATAGCTTTTCGACCCTTGCATTGGAACCAAAGATATTAGTTTCTCCATGGCAATGAGGGCATGTGAACAAGGACATGTTCTGCACCAAGCCAAGGATATTGACATCGACTGTTTTGAACATGTTGATACCTTTGACAGCATCTTTGGTGGCAAGAGTATGAGGAGTTGTGACGATGATAGAGCCTGGGGGTTGTTAGTAGAAACAAACGTGACATCTCATAGAAACGCACCATCCAAAATAACCTGCTGTGTAATAGTCAACTGTGTATCTCCTGTACCTGGAGGCAGGTCTAGGACAAGAACATCGAGGCCACCCCATTCTACCTCATGTAGAAGCTGCTGGATAGCCTTCATCACCATGGGACCTCGCCATACTACTGGGGCATTCTCACCAACCAGATAACCCATGGACATGGTCTTGACTCCATAGTTTGTGAGAGGGATGAGCTGGTTATCTTTGTAATGTCAGTTCATACTCAGAAGGCGTTATGAGCTCCAGTGACTCACTATTCGACAACCTCGGTTCTCCTGCAAGGTCAAACAAGGTTGGAATGGATGGACCAAAGATATCAGTGTCCAGGATCCCAGCACGAAAGCCAAGACGAGCAAAAGCCAGAGACAGATTTGCTAGTCGCCTTTGTTAGAACATCTCAAGTCTCAGGAGACATCTATATATAGGTACCTGCAACTGTGCTTTTGCCTACACCGCCTTTGGCTGAGGATACTGCGATGACTTTCTCGACACCTGTGATTTTGCGACGGACTGGGCGTTTACCCCAGGTTGGCGGCGTTCCTGATCGAGGGAGACCCTGAGATAGTATCAGTCATACTCTAACCTGATAGCACTCAGCACTAAAGAAGATCACTCACTAACGGATTTTCATGTTGCAGCGCCCGGAAGCACTGAAAGAGGCGGGTAGACGTTGGACGCATACTGAGATTATATATGGCTTTAGATGGGATATAACTCAAGGCTTCGGCGTACTGAGCTTGAACTCCTCAATTCGGAGTTATAGAGGTATTTTCAATGTCTATAGTGTCTAAACAAGCAACATATTGAATTGTCTACTCATAGGATGTCAATACACGAGTCTGACCAAATAAAGTGTCATGGAACCCATCGCCGCTGGGAGTTTGAGCTAGTTAGCGGACTATACAGGGCCCTCTCCGCTAACACTGAGTTGCGACGATTCTGCCATCTGCCACCGCCTAAAAGTTCAAGGCCATTGCTCAGAAAATTTCCAACGTGGGGGCTTCTATTTGTTTGTCAGTGGAAGACTTGACTTTTCAATCCTTAAAATGGCCAGAGCAAAGGGTCGCGCAAAGCAGTTCCAAGACTTGGACGAGCCTATCGCCCAGGGTAAGTCACTACACTGCCATGTGTCCTATAATTTCTAATCATCACAAAAGACTACGATCCCGAGGCCAATGTCGAAGTTAGTGAGGATGGCAGCGGTAGCGAAGAGAGCGAGGACGAGAACGCGGGTACTGAGCACTATGTTTCCGTCGGAAAGAGCAAATTGAGGAAACAGGAGGGCCTGTCACTCGGTCCCCAGTATCGAGGCTCTCGAGTCTCGCGAGATGCCCTCGAAGAAGAGAGCGAGTCCGAAGACGAGAATGAGGACGAGGAGTCGGGCGATGAGCAATTCGACGATCCTGAGACCGCGGATCTAGCACGCGACGAGGCTGAAGCTAACGACTCAGAAATCGAGAGCGACGACGCTCTTGGCGAAAGTGACGAGGAGCGCTTCAAGGAGTTTACTTTCCGCGGAAGCTCCAAGCCTAAAAAGCCCGCTAACAAGCGAGCTACCGCTGCTGACTACATGTCTTCTTCCGATGAAGGCGGCGTTGGTGTTGGTGAAGATGAGGATGACGAATCCGAATCAGATGAGGACGACATGGACGATGGCCTTGACGCTTTGGTCGATGGCGATGAAGGCTCCGAGGCTGAGTCGGATGAGGATGATGATGAGGAGGGCTCGGGGGAAGAAGAGGAGGAAGAGGACGATGATGGTAGTGAGAGCAATGAGGAAGAATCAGAGGCGAAGGCTAAGAACGCAAAACCTATGATGTCAGCCTTATCAACCCGACCCGATGTTGACAAGGGTTTGGCAATCCGTCAGCAGCGCAAGGCCTATGATGGACTTCTCAACATTCGAATTCGCCTACAGAAAGCTCTCATTGCTGCCAACACCTTCGATGCCTTCGATACCGACCCCGAGCCCGAATCGGAGCCTTACGAGGCGGCTGAAGAGGCAGCCATCAAGCTCCTCAACACTATCAGCAGCCTTAAGGATAACTTTGGACCATCTCGAGCTGGCGAAAAGCGCAAGCGTGAATTGAATGTGTCTATGGCCACAAGCGAGATCTGGGAGCAATTACAAGCGGAGGAACAACGATCTATCAAATCTAGGGAGGATCGCCTTGAGAAGTGGTCTCGCAAGGTGCAGTCTGTTAATGTCACAGCACCCAAGGGGCTCGAGTCACGAAACAAGACTCTTGTCAGTGCCCTTAAGGAGCAGCTCATTGACCCTGATAACCGTCTCGCCAAGCGCTCTCGCATCCCTCGATCATGTGCCCCTGCGCAAGTTGCCAAAGGTGCATCGGAGAACTACAACATTTACGACGACGCCGACTTCTACCAGGTTCTCCTGAAGGAGCTTGTGGACCAGCGCACAGTGGAGGGCGCATCGGGGGCTGGAGCTGGAGCTGCCGTCCCCACGGTCGTCCTCACAGCTGCCAAGGACGTCAAGTCACGAAAGAATGTTGACCGCAAGGCCAGCAAGGGCCGTAAGATGCGCTTCACGGTTCACGAGAAGCTGCAGAACTTCATGGCGCCCGAGGACCGACGTGCGTGGGAACAGGGTGCTATTGACCGCTTCTTCGGAACGCTATTCGGTCGCAAGATGCAGCTTAATGAGGACGAGAGTGAGGATGACATGGATGTCGATGTTGAGGAGGCAGGACTCCGGCTGTTTAGAAACTAAAGGGGGACGGACGGACACGGGGGAAAAAGGTGTAATTGTAGATGTCATAGACTGTTGCTTAAGCATTACCAAAATACCAGGTACAAAGAAACATGGCCATCAAAACAATGTGAACTCCTAGGTGCACCATTGGTCCTCCTAAAGTCTTGGTTGTAGAAGCTTCCTCCTCCTCTGTATAGCCATTCATTCGCATATAAGCTCGATAACTAGGCCATAAATGCCAGAAGGAAAAGGCGAGTGCAGCTTGACGAGTTGCGTCATCAAACGGCCGCCGGATAAAGATGAGAGCAATGAGGTTGCCCGTAAGAAGAAGGCCACCGAATGACTGAAGAATCAGAGCTGCCGATGGAGGAAGTGGTTGAAGTTGTGATGAGGGCTTCAGGATGAAGGTCAAGGCAGCTGGGGTCTCAATGAGAGCGTGGATGAGGAAGGGGACCGTTGCTGTGAACAGCATGATTGTGATGATCTGAGGCTGAAGTTGTCAAGTTATTAGAGGTCAATGATGACGAAGAGTGGTGGAATCTAGACAACGTGGTGATTTTCAAGATGAGAGATGGGTTACAGATCCTGACTTACTAAGCTGCCGATTTGCTGACCATATCCACCACATAAGACAAGGATGAATGAGTTTATAGATTCGACGTGCTAAGCCCGAACTTCTCATAATACCATCGCATGTAGTATGTAGTTCTGTTCATTTTATTAAGAGGTTCTTGCACAAATGTCAGATATGCTTCTAGCATTATCCCCAACCATAGCGACCCGCAAAACAAACGACTCGTGGCTGAACACAGAACATCAAATCTTGATTGTCAAATAGTATATTACCAACTCAATTCGTATCTCCATTTTGAGCGCCATATTACGCCGTCAGATATATCCAAGACTATCTGAAAGTCAGTGTACAGGAGGGGATATCATATCTAAATAGTAGCAATATACATAACACTTAGCCAAGCATGGTTGGCTAATACATCTCCTTGAACTGAGGAAAGACAGTACCATCACTTCCAAACATGCCGCCGTTAGACGCTTCAGAAACCTCGGCATTTGGCCCCTGTTGTCCCTCATTATCGTTATATTGGAATCCATTCAACCCTACATAGCCCTCGAACATCCGTGACATCTCGGCTTGAATTCGTGATCCGTTCTGAGCCATCGAGTCTGGGGTGGCAGCTTGCGATTGCTGACCAGGAATAGATGGCTTGCGGAACGGCTGTTGTTGTTCCATATGGCCTCGAGCAAGCCCTATCATCCCCAACGCTGCTGTTGACTGAGGGTCGTCCTCAGCATTGAGTCCGAATCGCGGTGCCACGTCTTTGAGTGATCGAATTGTGCGCCAAAGTCGCTGGGACGCCCAGCTCTTGGCGGATAAATCCTTCACCAGCTCGAGGGCCATATAAAACTCCTCACGGCAGGAAGCGCTGAAGCGGACCGGGGCATGAACGGATGCGAGGAATACGACCGCAATCGCAGATGTGAGGAATTGGTGGTAGAACACCTGTACACGTCTGTATAAGTTGGTTGTGTTATTCAGGTGGCTGAGGTATCGGATAGTGTCTTTGGCGATGTCAACTACACGTTCTGACTGTGCAGGATGCGCCATGATGCTTGTGGCGCTATGCAACACAGGCGTGTAAAGCCAGATCCGCATCTGAATATTGTTAGCTCATACCGACTGAGTCCTGAACACAATACTTACTTGATTCAGGCGTAAATATGTCCAGATTCGTAGGCGTTGCAGATTATATGAAGGAGTCGACGTGATATGCTTCTCCTTGTCCCAGTTACGAACCTTGACCTCTTCGGGAATCTGTTCATACCACTGTAGTAACTCCTGGTCGACATTTTCCAGTTCTGCTGAGCGCAAATCGCGTGCCAGAACCGGCCCAAAATGAGCTACTTGTCGCCACACCTTTGCACCTATCCGGGAATAGGTGATCATGGCCACAAGATAAGGGTATTCCTCCTTAAAATATTCGTTAGCTAAGACAGGGGCTTTGGGTTCATCAAATACTAACTGGAAATGGTAACTCTGAATCGATTTCTTCATCTTGAACGACGAAAGGTAGCCCGGTTGCGAAAGCCCATCGCCTATCCAGCACATATGCCGACCAGAAGCTGACGAGAGCATTCTTACGTTCCTCTTCGTCCTGAATTCTCATCAAGCCTGTTCTTTGATGAATGCCAAGCTCTAGACATAATCGTGCGACATGACCCATGACTCGCCAAGCCAAAACTTCATCATTAGAGAGAAATCTGTATCCAGCAACAAGAGCCAGGATCGGCAGGGTTGCGACATCCGCAGCCTCAGCCATGAGCTTCCGGTTGAGCACCGTTTCCATGCTCTCAAACAAGCGAATGGCTTTATCACTATGTCCATGCTCTTCTACCACTAGAGCACAGCACATGATGATTTTGAGCTGTAGAGTCTTGTCGTCGTTGACAAGTTCTCTGGGGCTTTGTTGTCGTAAGGTTTCAAGAAATGTGGCCATGTTCTTGGCATGGGATATCACGGTTTGAATGTTGAGGACTGGGTACATGATACCGATCTCTTCCTCATGCAGACGACACAGGCGAATCATTTCGTCTTTATCGAATTCGTGGAGGGGATCTCTTGGCCGCGTCGACGTGGGGCCCATGCCATCGTTCAGGTGTGGGTTTTCCTCGTCTGAAATGCCTTTGTAGCCCATGTTGTTGATAGTATTATTGGCAACGTCGAGACTGAAGGCCATGCTTGTTGGGCCCCGGAAAGAACCGTATTTCGAACTATCCTGTCGGTTAAGTGAAGCAGAACTATGAGAAGGTGAAGGGGCGACTGCCGGCGTGCCGTGGCCGTGGGTCATTGTCCGGTCACCAAGTGAGGAATATCGGGCAGGTTCGGACTGAAGGGCCTTGACGGTTTGGTGAAGCCAGCCGACCTCTTCTTGAAGGCGACCTAGTTGTGATGTGACCTGCTTGAACTCATCGGATTCCTTAAAGTTGCCGGAACAGCAGTTCGGGGCATATAGACAGGCCAAGTTGAGGTTGCCGCATCGTTGGCAGGGAGTTTCGCCATTGCATTTTATTTTTCGTCTCTTACATTCATTGCTATGTATCGTTAGCATATGCACTCGTTAGGAACCAAGATAATGCGGTGTTATGCTACGCGGTCGCGGCAAAGATCAACGCTTTCGATGGCGGAAGCATACTGACCAAGCTATTGATATGTACTATCATGGTGAAGAATGCAACGTTAGCCTGAGTGATCCTCAAGTAAAGTGACCCGGGGAGTGGCGTGTGAATAAATGAGTGGGATCAAAGGGCTGAAACATGAGTGGGTTCGGGATGCCGACCCAGCCGTCTGGGTTCGTTTATGTCGTGTAACAAAGAGGCTGAGATGTTTGACGTACGTCCGAGGACTCGAAGGACTCGATAGGCGAGTATCGTGCAGTCTTGTGTAGCCCTCTGGAGAAGGAACCCCTCGTTGGTCGTCACAAAATGCGTCCCTGTCCTTCAAAGATGCCTCACCTCATCTCATCCTTGTCTCATGTGATCTCATGTCATGACGGTCCAGGGGTTGATAGTAGATGTAACGAGATGGTCAGAACTCACTCTGTTTCTTTTACTTCTTGCTTGCTTTGCTCCGTTGCCTTGACCGTCGTCTGCCGACTTCCTCTTGTTGGCATTGGACGCGTTCGCACCGTGAGCGGAATTGTCGCCGACAGAGGCGGAACTTGGGCTGGCATGATTCTCGTAAGCAATAGGAGCACCCGTAGAGGCTCCCACGGCGCTCCCGGGGGTACGGGCTGGAGTCCCGCCTCGTCCGGCGCCGGAGCCGGGGCCGAGAGACGGGCTCGAGGTTGGATTCAATACAGGAACTTGGGCAAGGAACCGAAGGTCGCTTGCTTGTGTCTCGATCTGCTCCATTGTGCCGAAATGGCCATCGACTGTGGCAGAGTTGTCGGAAATGTGAGAGTGAGAGAGCGATTGACGAGAGGGTAATATCTGATGATGAAGAGCGTGGGGGTGAGTGTAGGGTGAGTTTGGGAGCGATTGAGGGTGAATGTGATGATGAGGGTGATTGTGATTGTGAGCGCGAACTGCTAGAGGTGACGCGAATTGTGCATGCGAAAAAGGTATTATCACTGGACTTCCAGTTGGGTCATGGTCGGGGGCCACTAGGTCGGTACCAGTCCCAGTATGAGTAACGAGGCCCGGGCGCTGAGAACTGCGCCTACGCCAACGCCAGGTGCCACCATGACCGTCATTCCCGGGCATGTTCTGGTGGCCAGGATGAGAATGGGCATGATGGCCTAGCGGTACATCCACGTGACCCGGATATTCTGAAGTGATAGGAGCGGAATGTACGGTCCTGCCGCCGCCGCCGTGGAAATCATCGGCTTCAATCGCTTGTTGTATCTCCATCTCCTCCATCTCCCCTTCGGCATCCCCCACACCGAAGACGTGATAGTAGCCCTCCAGCCTTGCTTTTCTTCAGTATTCACCTGAAAACTGAACCGTTGCCTACGCTCTCCCGTGCGCCCAACGCCAAGAAAGAGCAATGCCGGGAAAGGGAATTCCAACCGGATCCAACCAGAAGCGTCCCTCTTAGAACTGTCGGGTCCGCATGGACTGACCCAGAGTCTCGGAGCCGAAACCTAATCAAATTGCGTCCCGTCCACTGAGTAATTTCGATTGGGCAACAATTCTAAGAGTCCCGTGCTCCTGTGCTGGCCTGTCGTTGCAGATTCCTCAGTAACGATTGAGTGTCTGTTGTGAGGATATCGATATTGATATCGTCTGGGTGTCCGTACGGTTGAAGGCTGGCGGTCGCAATAACAACCCAAAATGATAATGGCTGCGAACAATTGTCGAATCTCCCGGGTCTGTCAGAAGATGTTGAGCTCGGATTCCAACGACAGTTCTTCGATCTCCCATTTAACTATTGTCGATTCTTCTTTCGTCGTGATATGCGATAACTACTGCTTTAACACGATCGTTGATGGGGATCTCGCTCAACTTAAACAACTATACCGGCTGTTGAATACTCAACGGCGAACTCTACACAGCGCTCACCTCCCCTTGCTCTCTGCCTTACCTGTGGAGATTGACCACCGCTCTAGCTTCCTTTAGACGTCGTCCTCTTATCACGCCGCACGCCTAGCTTCATAGTCACAGTTTGGATGCCCTCTTGGCGGAGACTCCTCACCTGCACGCCGTCAAGTTACTCAAGGGGCATACAACCCACCCTACCTAGATACCTGACAAGGCCCTGACCTGACCAGACCAGACGTCAACTAGGCCTATGTACGGAGTAGCGTGGCCCTGATCCGAACCGTCCGGTATCGCACGCGTCCCACGCCTTACGCTCAGAATACTCTTCTGGGCCATGGCACGCATCACAAAAGTTTCAAGGATGGAGAGACATTAGAAACTCCTCTTGGCCAGCCTAGATCTTGAGTCAGAACTTGCAGGTTATGAACGAAGGTTTCTTTTTCATGGCTTCTATAGCTACCTATCGACAGCCACAAGTATAAATCTTCAGTTCTCGAATTTGGGCTCAAGCCTCTTCCCCACGGCCGAGTCAGCAACCCCCGTCTTGCGCGCCGTGCACAAGAGCTTAAAACCCCGATACGTGCTTCACCTCCATGACGACCGCAAATCGAGCTCGTAACATGTAGATATTACATAGTAGGTGTACCTTCATTGACTATCTGCGGGAAACTTCATTAACTACCATGCTAGTGTGGGTGGGGCCTCCGTCAAACCTGCAAGCCACAGGGTGCTTCATATCGAGACGAATTCCTGTTTCGGGACGCCCTCGTTGTTGAATCCCTTCCGATTGGGCTCACCATTGTTTCGTCAGCCGATGGCTGTCAAAAAGCCTTGTAACTCGTGAGATGACCCTGTCTAGTCAAGCTTTTTTGTCTCCTGAGGGCCCCAGCCATCCCTACAGCATACATACATACAGCGTGGAAGCATGTTTCAAAGGAGGACTTGGAGGTCTTTAGCCTTGTCGATGCCACGAGGTTGAGGATCGTCTCGCCCACTTTGTTAGTAAATCCAAGCTGAAAGAAAATACGGGGCAGAATCCACTTGATGAGTCGTCATTGCTCAAGCGCTGTAAGTTGGCGCGGCAAGTTCCTTGTTCATCCTCGTGCGTTGACATCTTGGCGGCAGCTAATCCACTTCGAGGCTGTTTCTTGCGGATGTCACCTCAACTTGTATGTGCTGATCTTTAACCGACCACATGGCATAGCGTTCAGTGTCAAAACTCGCGGCGCTTTTGTCAGTCTCGGGTTTCGGGAAAGGATTAACCTAAACGACAAGGCTCTTATGATCAGATCAAAATGCTGGAGAAACACCCCCTGCCTAGTACCGGTACATGGGCATTTCTTGTACCGGGAGCTCCACTACCTAGGGAGCCTCGGTACCCAGAGCGTGAATTTTGAAGAAGATGATGCCCCTTCGTTGAACTATATCTCAGCCTCCAGGGCGATGAGCTTGGGCGCTCTTCGCTATCTACGTCAGAGTGGCTCGATATCTGAGCATGAGCGCTCATGTGTCAAAAGGAAAAGAAAAAATCTTATCAGCCCAACTTCAGTCCGGCATCTCGACTCGAATGACCAGGGTTAGCTCTTTAGCTGGTGATTATCTCTGATTAGAAAGATATTCTACTCCGTAGGGGCCTTCTCATTAGTCTTTGATGCGTCTGTCTGATCTGTCATCTACGCCTTTCTAACGTCCTATGGCATAGGACCCCTCTTTCTTTTCCCCTTACATGCAACTAACGCTTCTTGACCCCAGTCTATACTACCGCGGTTGGCGTCAAAGTCAGGGCGGGACAAGCATTAAGAGTCATCAAGCGAATTCGTCGATGAAAGCCCAATTTCTTCTGCAGTTAGGCGTATCAGGGCTGTCGTCATCGTATTTGAGGCCAATGAGCAGACAACATTGCTCCGCCGGGTAATAACCCATCAGTCGAGAGACTCGAGACTGTCCAGTCACTGAACAAACAAATACACAATGGGTCGCGAGGATATCTGGATATGTTGACGAGTTCGCCAATCTTAATTCCTGATTTGATCAACACACCACGCGTTGGTTGTTTTAGCAGGGCGCGCTTCACATTCATCCTTCATGCAGGAACACGAACGGACCGCTCACTCAAACCGGCAATGTATTCGGCAAAGGCTGAGGCTTGGCAACGGCTTTCCATATATTCGGGAGAGACAGAGTTAACTTCCCACCTTGGTGTCATGTCTCTACTAGGCACACTTGCTTCCAGACGATCTTGCATGTAACGCAATAGGAGAAAATTTCCGGTGTACTTCTCAGACCGCCACAATCCTCATGGACTGCTCGGAACGAGGTCTGATAGCATAGTAATTATGGTTCGAGCTATTCGCACTTAATAATTCTATGTGTAACCGAGAGCGAATTGGGGGTCACAATAAGAACACACTCCTTGTGGCAGACGTACAAGTGTACATAATTTCATTACCTATACTCTTTTGTTGCTTGCTTCTAATTACTGTCAAGTAATGCCCTCGAAGTGGATGATGATGAACCTTGTTCCACAACTCCATGCTAATCTAGATCTAGATGCTCTAGCGAGTCGGCCACAAACAACGCATACTGATCCGGCGACTCGGCCGGATCTCCGCTCGACTCACGGCCCCACTCTCCATTTCCATCCCCGATTTCACTCGGCTCAGTCTCCGTTTCAGCCGGTGTCTCTGGTGGAGTTTGTAGGCCAGGCAGGCCTGCACCATATGACATATTCCGCTTCAACATGCACATCTCAACTGTGATACCAGGGCCGAAAGCACAACCAACGACGTAGTCACGGACTCGTCCGTCAGGCGCCATGGCATCCATATCTTTCGAACGTAGGCGATCCATGACACTGAAGATGGTAGCTGAACTCGAGTTGCCATGGTTGATGTATGTGTCGTAACTTGCCCGTTGGTGTTCTGGTGTGATGTCCATGGCTCTCTCAGCGCCCGAAAGGATGGTAGCGCCGCCAGGGTGCATCGCCCAGTCGAAGTCGGCTGCTTTCTGGTAGTCTGGGGGGAGTTGAGGCAGAGATGCCTTGAGGTCGTTGAAAGCTGGGCCAATTGAGGCAGCAGTGAGCTTGGGGACACGAGGTGTGAGAACAACTTTCCAGCCTATCATTCTGTCAGTTTCAGTCCTAGAAAACACTACGGCGGAGATATTAAAACTTACCGACCGGGTCAACATCAAACCCCAAGTCATCCTCAGTATCTGGTATGGTCCTGTGGTCCCAGCCGAGAAGGTCATATACCGGTTCAGAAGGTTCACCGATACCGTTGCTCAATACAGCGGCACTACCACAGTCCGAAAAAAGGCATGCGCCTATTCTCGTCTGCTGTAGCTCATTGATGCTATCTAGCTCACTACGCACCATAGTGGTGCTGACCTCGAGTGCTACACACAGAACGCGCGCTGGCAGACCGCGAGCTTTATGGCCAAGGGCTAGATTCGCGGCTGTTCGGAGAGTTGCTAGTCCGCCGCTGCAACCAACACCATGAAGCAATACCTTCTCTACACCGTGCGATATGCCCAGACCTTTTGCGACAAAGTGGTCGAAGCCCGGGTTTGCGCTGTCCGTACATGTTGTGGCGACTATGTGGGTAATGAATCTTGTGTCAATCTTGGCCTCGTCAATAGCCTTTCGAGCGGCTCGAATCGCGAGAGGAACGCCATCGGAGAGGAACAGAGTGTGAAGCTCTGCTATTGAGGGCGCATCTTTCTTGTTAACAGCTGGGTGGTCGGGTGTTCCAATGGACGACCGTGTGTCAATTCCGGTATATCTGTTGATTCCGAGGACCTTCTGCATACTATCATGACCTGTCAGCCGGTGAGGGAGGCATGTTGGTGGTGTTGAGACTCACGAAGGTGTATCGGGATAGAACTTGTCACTGAGGGTGTTGAGACAAGTATAATCTAGGGAGTATGGTGGGTACTCGGCGCCGATGCCGATTATAGAGAGGCCCAGCTCTCCAAATGTGCTTGGAGCTGACATGACTGATCTGATGAAGTTGTTTGTCGTGAAAGTTGGCTGGCGCTTATATCCCCGACACTTTCTGAGGTGGAGGGGAATGGGACAAGTGAGCTGCAGAAAAGCGATTGAGTGATACAGCTGTTAATTTAGTGCGCTTGAATGGAAGACTGATATCAGGCACATCCAATTGATGTCGCTACAGAAGAATAGGATGTCGTTGACGTGTTCAATTGTGAATATCTGTTATCTCGTTTGGCCGCGTGAGCTTAATCGATGACGCTATCTTGATGCCAGGGCTAGGTAGGGGAGCTGCAGGTTCAGATGCAGGGGTTGGATAAATAATTGGGGGGTTAAGTATGCGAAAAATGGCAATGATGAAGGTGAGAAGAGAGAATAATAGAGGACAGAGCAAGTTGTTGTGGCAAGAGGAATTCGATTATGCAGCTGTGACACCAAAATGCAGCCAAAGTACCTCCTTAGGTGTCACAGTAATGTCTCAAATATGGTTTGGAGGGGTTACCCAAGCGAAGGGGACGTTGAGGATATGCCGAGATGAGTGAAAAGGCACTGAATGATATGAGCTGCTTCTTCTGTTCAAGTGATAATTTGACAAGGTTCTCACTTGTCTTTTCTGGGCTACGTCGGTATTTATAAGCGGTGACTGTTTCTCAAGTCAGAGAGAGACAAGTACTGTAGGTAAGGTAGTCATTGATTGCCTGTGATAACTTCCATCATCTATCTCGTTCATGAAACAAACGCTGAAACCTCGTTGGTTCATGCTTCTCTGAGTAAACGTCATGCCTCGGTTGAGGTGTACGTAAATTGGTCCGACGGACTGAATCACGTTCCGACTGTCAAAGTTTTGGGACATGTTGAATATATTGGTTTAGTTAGAGTGGTCGTCCATCGCATTTCTCGTGACGAATACGAGGGAGCGAAAACACAGCCCTCTTTGCTTAGGTAGCTGACACTGCATGCGAATACGTCCAAGTGTCAATATTTACAACACCAACGGAAAACTTTGATAGAAAGATCGCCCACGTATATTCTCTAGTGAATATCATGCTCAGCTTCCCAGTTTGTGGTTGGTTGTGGATTCAAGGTTACATCATGATATCGCCTGTGGGCTGAGACAACTTCAACCTTGCAACTCATAGTCACAGTCAAGACAACAATGCATTATCTCAGCTTCGTTTTTGGACAGCATATTGTTCTATCAGTAACACTCCTTTTATTTCTATACTTATTAGGAAAGAAATCGCCAAAGCCCACGCGCAATGGTAAACCTCTCAGGTTGGTATTCGCTCAATTCACATACCCTATGCTCACTCATCATGCCACTTTGCTGAATATCTGTATGTACCTGACTAACAGTCAACCAGAAAACCTCTAAACTCACTACCTCTGGTAGGTAATGGCATAATATTCCTACAGCCTCGTCAGCGTCTCTTTTCCTGGTTCCACCGCTGTGAGCGTCTGTATGGCTATGAAACTCTCCATATCACCGTTCCTACCCTCCCGCCAGGTGTTATTATCAACAACCCCCAGAACCTAGAGTTCATCTTCCGCCATGAGGGAATCTTTGAAAAAGGAGACTTCTTCAAACAGCGATCTTGGGACTTGTTCGGTCACGGTATCATCAACGTGGACGGCGAGTTCTGGCGCCTGCAGCGCAAGGCTGGCCTGCGGTTTCTCTCAACAGCTGCTCTGAAGACTCTGACGAGTGACCGATTGCCAGAGTACCTAGAACAGGCCATTCATGTTCTCAGGAGCAAAGAAACTGGGAGAGATGTAGTGGACTTACAGGCGGTAATCCACGAAGTGACGACGCAGCTGATGGGACGAATGGCATACAACATGGAGATGCACGCTGACGATGATTTTACCGTTGCTTTTGAGCATGCTTCAGGGGCCACAGCCGAAAGGTTCCAGAACCCATCATGGTTTGTGACAGAGATGTTCTTTGGAAGTCGAATGCGACGTTCTATCAGAACTGTTAAGGCTTATGGGCAGCGGATCGTCAAGAGCGCAGTGGCTGATCGCGAGGTAACTGAGGGAAAAGCGCAGTCCGATGCGCCAGGAAGTCTCATTCAGTCTTTGTTGGATGCAATTGGTGACGACGGCCTTGTAGCAGATGCCGCACTGAATTATCTTTCGGCGGGGAGAGATACTGTTGCTCAGGCACTTACGTGGACGCTATACTTGCTCATGAAGCACCCAGAAGTGACCAACAAGCTATGCCAGTCGATCCAAGACCTACGAGATCAAGTCAGAGACCAAGATCACTTTGAGGACGACCCTGAACTTCTTACCCCGGCACGACTCCCCTACGTCCTCGCAGTCTTCTATGAAACTCTCCGCCTTCGGCCCCCCATCCCCTTCGAAATCAAACAAGCTCAACAAGAAACAATCCTTCCCGATGGAACATTCCTCCCAAAAAGTGCTGTCGTTTTATGGTGTGCTTGGGCAATGGGCCGCTCTCACACAACTTGGGGTCCTGATGCAGATGAGTTTCGCCCAGAGCGATGGCTAACTACGTCTCCATCTGGTGATGTGACAGTCATGCAGCGTTCAGCAGCCGAGTTTCCTGTCTTCAATGGTGGGCCTCGAGTATGTCTAGGGAAGAAAATGGCAGAGTTGGTTGCTGTACAGACATTGGCGAAATTGGTGCCCCTATTTGACTTCAGACCTGCTTTCGAAGGCGAGAGAGTGAGCAAGAGTAGTTTGACTCTTCCGATGGACGGTGGTTTGCCGGTGTATGTGCATGCTAGGAGGACCTCCAAGACGTGATGGAGGACATCCTCTATTGAACAAACTTTTATTACTCCTGGTATCGCTATATATAGAGTACGCCTAGCCTAGTCAAATGTAATCTTGGATCCCGCAAATGCCGCTGTCTTCTCTGCATCCTTCGCTTGCTTCCTGGCTGCCCAGCTAGGATGCAATGTTCCTTCATCATCCTTCTTCGGAGGCGGCCTCTTCACCTCAGGCTTACTCTCCGCTCCCACATTGCCGCCTTGCCTGGCCGCAAGAGGATTGCGAATGCCCTTCTTCCAGGGCGTTCGCGGGCCATCTCCTGGCTCTACAGCGCCACGCTTACCATCCCATCCAGAGTCACGACCCCGCTGTGTTTCCCAAGCAGGCTTTTGTAAGTGCTTGGCCTTGTTACCGAATTTCTTCTCCCAAATTGCCTGGCGGGCCCGTTGGCCGCGACGCTTCTTTGCTGGGGCAACATCAATGTCGGAGGCGGACTCAGAACCTGAGATGTAACCACCCATGAGTGTGGGCAGGAAGGTCGATTCATGAGGACGAGCGGGTGCTGATGCCTTGTCCTTGCTCTTCTTCTTCTTGGCTGGGGGTGGCGAGGGAGAAGCTGAGACAGAGAGTTCTTCATCGTCCTCTTCTTCTGATTCGAAACCAAGCTCTGGTGCGGCATCTGAGCCAGAAACGGATATGTCGTCTAGATTGACCTTCTCTTTGCCCTTGAAGCGCTCGAATCTCTCATCGTCGAAACCGTCTTCGTCTTCAGAATCGGAAGAGCCGCCTAGCAAGTGATCATACTTGGACATAGATTTCTCTTCCTTCGCTTCATCTTCACTGCCAAGCTCTTCAGGTTCCTGAATAGGACCGTCATGATCTGAGAATCCCTCGAATTCCGACTCTTCCTCTTCAGCTTCAACATCCTTCTCAATTGACGCTCGCACGTCTTCCTTAGAAGTTCTAGTCTCAGGCTTAGACTCCCCTTCTATCCTATCGGACGGCTGTTCCTTTCTCTCTTCCTTCTTGGGCTTTCGCACGCGCTTCGCCTTTCCGGGTAGAGGGACATCGAGGGCCTGGCAGAAGGTGGTGATGGCGCGAGTGATAGCCTGTTTGACAAGTTCACGATTATATAGTCCACTGGTAACATTGTGTAGCGCAGCCTGTTCTTCGGGGGTAAGCTCGGGCTTGGGTACGCCGGTGCGAATCTCTTCGGGGAGGTCGGTGGATGCAGCAAGGTCTTTGACTTTGAGGATCGACGAGTAGAGGTGAGCGCGCGCAGTTCGATGAAGGTCAAGAGACTAGATATTTCTGGTTGATATACTGTTAATTGATACCTGGGCCTCGTAGAGACTCACCTTCAAGACCGTCACCTCTCGTTCCAATCTTTCCTTCTTATCAGGCTCAACTCCATCTTCATGAAGTCTCTTACTATATCGCTGGCGCTCTAGGCCCTTTGCAGCTTTAAGTGCCTTTGAGACGTCATTACAGTGCTTCTCAAGCTTGTCTCCAAGATTGGGCTCCCCGCGCTTTCGTTTTGGCATTGTCTGGGCTTTTTATGTTTGTTGGAAAACCGCTTCCGCAGTGTCGCAAAAAAGTTCTATATCGGAGCCGCAACGAAACTTCCATTAGTGCGAGAGATAACGCGATTACTGTGCACAGACGCCCAAGCATGCGGCCATCAAACAGTGCGAATTGATGCATCTGTCGATGGTGGGGATTTCGATATTGGATCGATTTGTATGCGGGGGATGCGGCACCGATCATTAATGATCCATGTCTATTATAACTTTGATGGAGCTAGTATCGGATTGTGCATGTAAAGAAGGTTGATAGAATTCTACAACTATTCTGGATGACAGGATGGGCTGGTCAAAGCAATGCTACTTAGATACCTATACTGTAGCGTTACTGTAGTACGTTTAAGTGATCTGAAAGGAAGGTTACCCTAGATTCTGCGGCCAAGTCATACCAATATAATCTACTAAATATGTCCTATTTGAGTCTCAAACAGCTTCTATTGATTACTCGGGGTCCATCTTCCACTCTCTCGGACTTGGGCCGAGTATAATCCAGCAAGAGCAATAATGATCCTCTTCTTGATATCATAATATCTTCATCCTACCACGTCATCCAGTGTTTATGTCAATGGTATACCCGCGGTATTGCTCGGTTATGGTGTTTCAAGAACTCATTGATCCTCTCTAACTACGTGGCTGGCTAATTGCCAAGCGGTGTATGTCATGTCCATCTGAAAAGCGCGATACAAGTCTTTGTCACCATAACCTCGGATATACCACACCAACACCCACAAACTATCTATTGGACCCTGAATAGAGGCATTATAATTGGTTGTGAATTAAGTAATGCCTTGACGCTCGAAACCTGCTCTTATGGACATCTTGCGTAATGACGAGGCAATTCGGAGCGCGCACGTTGTTACATCTCGCAATCCGAAGGGCTCTATGTTCAGTCCGTTCGGCTCGGTTAGTTGCCGGCCAGTTATCGTAGACAGGTTTGCAAACTCGAGAATCATCGTCAATCAAATCAATGAGATGCCGTTGGAGAGATCCATGCCTTGTGGATCTAGACTGGATCGCTGACAGGGGAGAGAAATGCACTTCCGCAACTTGAAGTCCGGTGATTGAGGAACATTTCAGCATAGCTTGGCAAGCTTAGCAAGCTCAGCCGTGGGGTTTTAAGACATGGATTAGACGTATGTAAGAAAAGAGTCGGGATGTGGACAGGCAGAGACTAACAAGGTGATTCTGCAGGTCACTGAGAGCAGGCTGTGTTTCTCGCACATCTAAAGCCGGGTGAGGTAGCCAACCACTAACCATGATGTTATCTGAGGATACGACCTTGCGAGTTTTGCATTTCCGTCCAGACAGCCTCAAACATTTACGGTGTCTCTTTTCGTTCAGGTGTAGTTCTTGGCGAGGAACAATATCTGGCAACAAATAGTAAAAGTCGGGTGATTTTGGGGAGACCTCTGGGGACTATCTTGGAGATGGAGTGTTGGAGTAACCCTGTTGGAGATGGAAGTCAAGTCTATCGAGGCGTCGATACCCGTTTCTTGCCGTGCCATGGGGTGATTGATATGATGAGGTCTTCACGACAAGAGAAAGATGGGGGTTATTAGCTCAGCATCATGTTTGTCTTAGTACTTCCTACATGTCTAATGACGTGCTTCTTGAGAGGTTTATGGTGAGGCTGCTGTGGCTCAAGATGGCACCTTGCATGTAGGATGGGTAGACCAGAGCCCCCATATGCTCCAAATAGTCTCTCAGATATCACAGCTTAACCATTTGTGCCACTCCCCCAAGCTGTCTACGGAGTACATTATAGGAAGATAGGACCGAAGGAACCGGAGATGCCATGAAGCATCAGGGGCCCCGCACACTCCCTGCTCTTCGTCATGTACGAATCTCAAGATTTTGGGGTTTAAGTTGCTAGGGCTGAATCTTTGGGGGTTGGGGTTCCATGATGAAAATTTCCCATGTCTCAACTCCAATTTTGGAGACACGATCCAGACTATCGAGTCTTGTTGAAACCCCAACCTAATTCACATGTTTAATTTTCAATTAAATCTCTGCTGTGATAAGATATAGACCCGTAGAGCCTAGAGGTAAGGATCCATGTGTTAGCGGTCTGCTTATCGGTTGGTAGTGACGATTCCGAAAATTGGTGCCTCCTCGGAACATACTTCCTCGGGACCTGCGCCGGACTTGAAAGAATCCAATGAATGAGTGTTGCCCTTGATCAACCATGTCTAGAATTTCCAGAGACTCCACTGACTAGGTAACTAAGATGAATAGGTATGTAGCCTTGTAAATGGACGCTATCTCAAGATGAGGCTCTTGTTCTAAGACCCGTCCTAACCGCCCTAGCCGTACTTCTGATGTGTGTCTGTTGTTGAGCGCCTTCACGTTGCATTACATGTCTTGCGAAAAACGGGCCGTTATGAACGGTTTGGTTATCTGTTGTTGAGAGAGTCAAAACAGTTCACATGTGAAATGTGACATCAGCCTGCCACGAAACTCAGAGTCTAGTAGTGACTTGGATGAGTGAATGGCCTTCACCCCATCCACGGCGGATATCTTGCTCGGATTTCTGGAAAAGTGACGTGTTTACACAGCCCGCGGTCGGTCTGAAGTTTTCGACGCCATAACCGAGGATATCAAACAGAACAGACCAGAGTTGCGGCTTTAATTAGACCGTAGCCAAGCTAAGCGCAAAGAATGTCGTAACTTTGGTATCCTTGCATCATGTCAGGACTTCAATGTCCTAGTTTGAGACAACCCTTGCTTGGTTCCTGATGACGGCCGGGGGTGGGACGGAAATAGGGTCTAGACCAGCCGGGTATCAAACAGCTGTAACATTTGAGTATTGAGCGTTACTAGGTATGATGGTCCAGGTTTTTTCCCTTTTTTATGGACGCGCGATTTAAGGATAGTCTGACCATTGTGTTGATATCTCAAAGCATAGAACCTCGGAGGGGCAGCAATGATCAAAGAGAGACCAGGCAGAGGGTTTCAGCGATAGAGTCCATTGAATAAGGTAACTAGACCCTCTGTAGCCCTGTGGAGTCGCAATCGGCAGTGTTGACGCCTGTATCCACTACGAGCCGCGCTGATGGATCAGGTCCAGTTGCTGTTGATGAGCATCGATATCTTTTGTTGGCGAGGCTTGACTATTGCGTTGCACAACTGAACCAACAAGAGGCCCAGGATGTTTCTCGTGTTGATGCAGCATCTTGTTACCTGCCGAGTGGGATGTATCCGGTTTTTAGCAGGCACCAAAAGCAAATCATATGCCGCAGCTAGCACATGCAAGATACAGCATCAGAAGAAGAAGAAGAAGAAGCACACCTAACGCCTCGTTTTTAAGGGACGACGTCTTTGCATCTGATATTAACCCCGGCCCGGAACCGGAGTTGAGTTCTGGTATAAGAATGCTCCGCGGGCGCTGTAGAATGGAAAGCCGGTCCTGGATTGCGGCGGCGCAAGCGGCGGCAGTACAAGCGGTTATTT